CCCCACAAACAGATCTTTGAATGTAAACACAACAAAATAGCAGAATGGGCGATTTGTAATGAACATCTGGCCTTCTAACTGAGTATAGTATTTGCGGGTTTTCTTTAGGCCCAAATTCGTGCACGAGATACACATTCCAAAAGGGGAAATCAGGTCCGGGTCCGACTGTCATGTGTCTGGAATGGTTTTGGACACAACAATGATTCATACATTTTGTTTATATACTTCTTCTCTGTAGCTGCAATTATCTCTCCAAATCTGGAAGCAGTGATCCGCCATTGTCTCTCCTTGTGTCAGATTGCGCTCTTTCCTTGTTATAACTTGCTATGCTCAGTGTTCGCTGTTTGTTCCTCAACCTGAAATATTCATATCCCATTAAAGCATGGTAGATGGTTACAGCATTAAATAGTTTAGATACAATATTATAATTCTATGATGTCACACATCACCTAGTTTGATATTTGGGCCCGATTCTCAAAGACCTCTGTTTTCACTTACATCATTCCCTCTATCCATGCTTTATTCTTTCATGGCACTTGGAAATAGTTGTTGTCCATCACAGCCGCCTGTAAGTCAGCTTTAGGGTAGGCATAACTGGTGGCTACATCAATCTTTACCGCTGATGTGAAGTGATAGGTAAGATTCCTGAAGTAATCATTTTATCCTGCTCTTGAAGTTGACTGTCCTGGAGTCCTGAAATCGACAGCTTCAGGCTTTGCCCCCAATATATGGGCCTTCTTTGGGTAACCTTATAAAGAAAATAAATGAGTTCATTTATTAAGTATAAAAAATCTTTGTCTTTCGTGCTACTTAAACAAAATATGAGCGTAAGCCTACTCGTACCTACAGTAGTCTACATGTACATAACATGTCAGATTTGACACACAAACCTCGACTAATTTTTTTATTTTTTCAAGGAAAATAGTTAGCATTCGTGTTTTTCAAGCACTGAATGAAAAAAAAACACATACCTTTCAGTCAATTCACATTTGCATCCAGATGTTATGGCACCACATTCAAGTAAAATGCGTTTGAGTTGGTTCACTGTCAGCGACGCGTGCACACGCTCCATGTTAAACTCTGGTGTAAAACATTGAGCGAGATTCTGCGAGACTTTAGAAGGACTGCTTTCACCCCCACGCCATCTAGCGGCATACCCTTAAAGCGGGTATTCCCCATTCCAGCCAAACATTACCTTTATCATCCAGTACCAGTTGATCCAGTCCACATCCATGATCCTGACACTGCCATTCCTTCAGTAAACCAGGGATCCAGTTGCCCAACTTGTACACTGGGTGTAAGGCAAAATGAAGGTTGGATAACAGCTCTGGTCTGGAGATAAAGCATAGTTGCATGAACTTAAGTATATATTCAACAAAAGGAGTAAATGGGACCATTCACAAGAAATTTTGTCCACCTAGCTAATTTTAATTTTCTTAACCAATCCCTGTATCTCTGGCACAAAAATTTTGCTAAAAATCTTCACATTTTGTTATAATACCACGGTGCATGTACTTCTCTTAAAGAAATGGTGTATATGGGCTAAAATCAACAAGCTTTGGTGTTCAGTATTTTACCCAGACTGACCTTTTTACAGCATGAGCAGCTTTAATCAACAGTCCCGCCATGCTTAAAGCGTCCCCTTCCTGTGCCAGGAACACATAGTGGACATTAACAGTGGTGGAATTCAGCATAGACATGGCGGACGCCAAGGAGTCATTGCTATTCCATAGAGCGTCCAGAAAACCCGAGTGTGAATTAAAGGCATGGAAAAGGATTGACGAGTTGAGGAAGAGCGGAGAAGGGTACACGAGGACCTCGTCTTTCATCCAACCGTTCACTGTACTCAGTTTAAAAGGTTCTGCTGCGTTTCCTGGGACGTGTGTCAGGCTCAAACTGTGCTGAAAGTTGTGTTTTCTAACACGCTCCTGAATGTTGGCGTCTCCTATTAATTTTCGGCGAGCTTGCGCGGAAATGTGGCCATATTTCTTCTTTAAGTTTAAGAAATTATGAAAAGCGGCTCTCGAACTGATTTCATTATGAGACCAAGCATATTTGACATCATTGACCAAATCGAACCCTTTCTGGTAATCTGTATCCGCTCGATGCCCTACAAAGTCGTGAGTGCCTTCTTCCAGGTGACCGTCCACCCCGATTATTAGAATGTTTATAAAACAGGCCAAGCACGACAGCTCTCTGGTCGACGCCATTTTGAACAGTCACATGATCAATGGAACGCACTCAAAGAGAGCTCAACAAACGCAATGCGTTAGAGAATGGCCTGGTGAACAGTTCATAGAAAGTCATGCAATGCGTCGAAATTCGCCCTCAAAGATATATAAATTCTAAAACCAATATATTTGTATGGAATGAGATCTTGGGTCTAGCTAGCTTAATAGTTCTATCGGGTCTTAAATCTGAAAATACCGATTTTTTTAACTAAGTAGGCCTACATGTAGGTCTACTTGGCATATTGTTATTTTAAATCCCTGAATTTTGCACTCCAAAATTAATAAAAAAAAAAAAAAAAAAAAAAAAAAAAAATGTCGGGGATGTAGCTTAGAGGTAGAACGCACGCTTTGCATGAGTGAAGCCCCCGGTTCAATCCCCGGCATCTCCATCTTGACAACTCTGTCGTTCGACAGACCGTGCTTTTTCACATTGCCAGGTCCTAAAAGAGACCCCAGTTGCAGGCCTTAACTGTGCGTGACCAACACGTTATTAAAGATTGGCAGAACCTCCTCGCAAACAAATTGTTTTTGTGTTGGTTGGATATAAAACACTAGTATAAAACCCCATTCCCATAGATTTTAGATCGATCTATCCCTGTGGGGAGTCTTACTAGATTCTCTCGCTAAATGGCTTCAGCCCAAGCGGCTTAGACGTCTGGGACGCCCACTAAAGCTGCTAAACGATAGTTAATTACCCCCTTTCATCCTTAACAGGCGTGACAGACATCTAAGCCGCACAAGTTAATTGCAAATAAGCGAGAATCCCCTCAGAGATAGTTCGTTCAATAGTAGGCCTAAGTAGCCTACGACAGTCTCTGGGAATGGTCTCTAATAGGCCTATATCACAATTGGAATCTTGAACTGGGGCTCTTGTGTATGATTTTGACAGCGTCCAACTACGAGGTCTTGCAGAAAGGGCCTACTCAAGATGAATGCTAAATTCTCACCTCGGCTAAGTTGTGTACGGTGTCCAGATATGCATATTTAACCCCCTTTACACTGGACGTCGTCCTTTCTTCATCCTTTGTGTGACCATGAAGCTGGCAACGCCGTGGTCGTTGAAAAGAGGCACAAGCAAAATGGATGCTCAAGTATTGTTATTTTTTACTGCCAAACGGGACCGTACTTCGGGACGCATAAAGGACGCCGACCAGTGTAAAGGGGCTTAAATAATAATAATAATAATAAAAAGATTAAGCTTCCAGATCAGGGGCGGATACAGGATTCTTTGAAGGGGGGGAGGGGTCCGATTTTTCAGGAATGACATGCTTTGGACCCCATTCAGAATAGGGGAGTTACTACTCCCAGGGTCAAATATGGCTATATCACTACAAAGCTTGCCATCTAATCCGCTAATAGACACTGAATAGGTATCCCTTGGGGAAGTAGGCCTGTTCAAATGGGGCGGCCATATTTGACCCTCGGACTACTAAGTTCCCTATTCTGAATGGGACCTTGGAGAGCAAGCAGTGGCATTTGGAACGGTTAAGGCCTGTAAACCAGCTAGTTTGGAATTCTTATTCCAAGAGTGGACTATTAGTGGGATTTTTTAGAAGCCGACGTGGGGGCACTGCCATTATCTATGCTAATGGGACCTTGGGGCTGGAGGGTCCACACATTGATGATCTGCAGTGGCGGATTTAGAGGGGGGGGGAGGTCAGGGGTCGTGGGGGCAAGAAGAAGTCAAACTCATCATCTCCTGAGACCTTCAGAATATTTTTATTTGTGTATCTCACAAAAGCCTAGCTCGCGCGCGACGAGTCCTTTATTCGACATCAATCATGGTTCCAGCAATTTATATAAGTTCCCGCCATGCTCTATTTCACATCTGTGCGTGTCACGGCTTCACGTCCAACTGCCAATCTGTCATTTTGTCTGAACATTAAATTATTTAAATGCGTTGTGACAGGTTAAGACCACACCTGTACGTATCTGCGCTGTCTCGTAGAAATGCGGCATTTGCTTGTCACTCACAGACGGAAAAGGTAGGTCATTTCAATTTGAACTTTTCTTCGCCGAATGGAAAGGGCGCTTTCATTTTCTTTTTTCATCGGTCGGGTTTAACCTTTACACAGTAAATAGTATTTGTTAAAACATCAATAATATCTATTCTTAACAGTGTTATGAGCAATGTTGGCAATAAACAAAACAGTCATATTAACAGCTGACAGTAATAAAGATGGGGAATCTGGAACAGAATCATGGGCGTCCGCGGGTGGGGGGGTCAATGGAATCACTTGACCCCCCCCCCCTGGAATTTTGGCGGGCACGTTAATTGCGGGTACCCAGCCGATCATTATCTCCCCCCTCAATGACTTTGACCCCCCCCTGGAAAATTTTCTGATGACGCCCATGAATATAACGCAGTCCTTGTCCATGTAATGCCACGAATGATTGGGGCAGTAACGATGACGCAATGAAAATAGAAAACAACTCAATCACTTGAGAGAAAGGTGAGACAGGAACATATTTAAGAACTAAGAAAGAAACTTTTACTGTAACCATCATTCGATAAAAGAAGTGCCGTAATGAAGTTAAAAATATTAATATAATTTTGTACCATTACTGAAATAAAATTCACATTTCATGCCTGATGAAACGTACATGTACTGTACATGTCAATGAGACCAACTGCAAGTAAAAGATTCAAACTGTGCGACTAATGGAAAGTACTAGAAAAGTAACAACAAAGATTACTTATGATTATTTTATGAGGAGGTAATGGAAAATCTGTATTAATGGAAGTTGTGAACTTTGGTCAATAAGATCTGCACCATTGTCTAATTAGACAATTACAACAATTTGTACCATACTGCTCTGCTAATGGTAGTTATCATGGTAGTTATATTGAGGTAATGGAAAATCTGTAATTATTGCATTTATTATTAGACGATTACAATATACTTTGATGGATAGCTTATTTTGGTAAGTTATGGAAAAATAAATAATGAATTATGTAAGAGCGCAAACCATCACACCATGACCAAATAGGGGTGTGTGATTAAACTGATGAAAAGGTAAGAATGGAAAGTTGTGGAAACATTACCGGTACCATCACTTCGTAAAAATTACCATAATTTGGTGGAGGATGCTGAATTACATTAAGAAAGAAGGAGAAACACTTTTCGACCCAGTACACACTAAAATGAAACATTTTCCACTATCAAATTTTTCATGTTTCTTAACAAAGAGTTTAAAGTAAACATGACAATATCAAACGCCATTTCATGTTTTTGTCACAGCATGTTCAGTAAATGTATCTCATAATATCATATTTCATTTCAGGTAGACAACAATAACTTGCTGTTACAATGTCGATCAACAAAGACGAATCTTGGGCTGTCATAAAGAAGCTAGACACGGTGAAGGATTACAAGGAATGTGCGCACGTTTATGATGAAATATTTGATGTATGTATCCTACCCGTATGTAATACTTGTCCTCCAACTCGCTACCATTTTCATAAACCTGGTTTACAAGAGGGAATATAATCTGCAATTTCCCGTTCTTTTTCGTATTTTTGATAAGCTACAAATTGTTGACAACTGTACTGAATGAAAAATGCAAGTGGTCATACAATTTCCGTTTGCTATGTTACACGAACGGACTCTCTGGCTTCGTTACAGCTTTCATTGGAGGCATGCCTTTTGATAACCTGTTCAAACAGCAAGTGATATCATGATGATAATAAAATAGCAAATTAAGAATATGCATCTTTGGTTTCCAAATTTAGCACTAAAATATTGATTTGTTGCCACTTTCAGACACTTTCCTATAGTGCACCAAGCCACGTGGCGCGAGCAGTTAATGAGTTGCTAGGCAACGAGAAGGATGCTCTGATACTGGATGCAGGGGCTGGGACAGGATTGGTGGGGAAGGAGGTCAGTGTTGCTATGGTTACTAACGTGCTTAGCCGGGGGGGGGGGGGGTTTAAGGAAAGGGAAGTGAACAGAGATATCGCTATTCACACCTCACAACTTGAACTGGCCTATTTTGAATACACGAAGCATTTAAAAATCGAAGTGAATTTCACCATGAAAGAAAGACGTAACTGCACTGGGCAAATGTTATGCTATCAAGGGTCTACAGTGAACGTGTTCCGCATTGCCTTATAACTTCACTGTTGGTTTATCATACTGTGCATTATTCTTGATGTGTCTTTCTTGATGAATGAAAAAGGTGTATATTTATGGTGTCATATTAATATTAGTTGTGACGTTAAAATATAGCGCCACACGATGTCCCATTTTTGTTTTTGTCTTTGTGACGTAATGCTTATGTCCCGTTGCAGCTTCACGATCTCGGCTTCACTAACCTCGATGCTCTTGATGGAAGTCAGGAAATGCTAAACATAGCCAATCAGAAAGGTGTTTACAAGAGGACTATTTGTGATTTGCTTGGCACAAATAGACTAGATATATCAAATGGTAGGTACCGGTATATCAAAAATCGCGTTTTTATCTTTATATCCCTGTTATTTTTGTTATCACCATAACTTCTGATGATGGCAGTTTGTGTGTCTAATACAATAAAAACCCATTCTGTAACATATAGTTAAAGGAAAGAAAATTTGAAATCTCAATCTGCACACCAAAGGATACAGGGTATGTTTCAGTTAGATCAGCATTTGCTTATGAATTAAAATTAATTTCACATTTTTAATCTATTCTCTTTTCATGATAAGACACGTACTCCTGTGTGTTGGTAGTTGGTACCATTGTTCCTGGCCATGCTAACGCCAGTTGTCTCCCGGAGCTCTTTAGAATCACCAAACCAGGTGGGTACCATGGAGATGAAAATGCTTCTATAGATTTCAAATATATGAAAAATTGCACTTAAAAAAAAATATTGATTGCTGTTTAATGAAGTTAGTATTAACGACTGGATATTTTCTATAATATGATATAATATGAATATATTTTAATGCTGGCACTTTTTTCTATTCCTGAACCAATTTCCTCTAAATACAGTGTAGTTTGCATGAAGTGCAAACACATAATAAAACTACTGCATTCGTTTGGAGCACATATTTGAAGTTTACACTTTTACATGATCACTGTCATTTACACTCAGAAAGTAAATTGTCAATTTTCTAGGTGGACTTGTGGTCATAACAACAAGAGACGTTCACGTGCAGGGTTGCGGGCATGCCGGGAAATCTCTGGCAGAGTGGATGGGGATACACGAGGAAAACAAGCTTTGGCGAAAGATGGAGACTAGGCGAGTCGAAAATTACCTGGATGGCCATGCTGGGAGTATTGATATATTTCAGGTGGTTTGAGGAGTCCTGATATCACGTGGTCACGTGATAATTCCGAGACCAGTAGTAATTTGGACATCACGATTCGCAAAAATTAGGAAGGAGAGGCGTTTGTTTATATTTTATTGTTTTTAATATAAAATTACTTTTTCTTACCAAAAGAACAGAATGATATGACTACCTAACCGGCATTAATGGAGAAAGGAGGAGAAGCAAAGACGAAAAGGAGGAAAGTAAATGTCTTTATGCGGTTTGTGCGTTTCTCCCTGCTTTCGTTTCTACCGTGGGCCTCTTGATAGGCCCAAGGTTCATTGGTCAGAAAAATCTTCCCTATCAGAACGGTATTCAGCTAGATAAAACAAGACACCACTATAGACTTACACTCCTTTTAAGAAAAAAAGTTAGGCAGAGAATTTCATTATTTCTCCGTGTAGATCCACCCCATGTAAGTCGTTGCTTGAAATCCACGACAGACCTTTAGTAAAAAGTTCAGCTTTGCTTATAGAACCGCTACCGTTGGTATCAATTTCAATGAAAAGTCCCAAAGATGATGGAGCACAGATCTTAAAATTAAATTGACAAACTCGTCCCTGTCAAGATTATCATCTTCATTCATATCCCCGACCTCGAAGAAGTTGAGGTGCCATTTGATTTCCTTGTCTACGTGCTGCTTATCGGGCATTTTTGCCTTGATTTCGGCTTCATTTGAAATATGGTCGTGTGCTGAAAAACATTTCAAATCTCCATCATTGAAGAGGTCTTTCCACCACGTGTCCCAATCTTCTTGCAGAAAGGCTTTGATTTTGTCCTCCTTCTCTTTGGACTTCGTTATAACCCCTACTCTCTCTGCCGTCATATTCACGAATTCGTCTTCATCCATCTTTCCATCTCCGTTAACGTCCATGTGTTCTATGACGTGTCTCCATTTGGATACCCAAATGTCACTTGATGGCTCGTAATATTCTGTCACCTTGAAGAAAGCAACGCATTCATAATTGTTTGAACTTTGAATTCTACCCATTTTCTATTACTTATTTCTTATAATCATCTCCAATATCTATATACCTACTCATTTGCTCTTTCTGTTATTTATTTATTAAAGTTTTTCCTCGACAGTCGGAACTTATCACCATGGCTTTCTAGAACTGTTTGATTGGCATGTGCCTCAACCGTCACGAAATAAATTAGATAACAAATACATAAACGCAATATTCCCCTCGATAAACGTCAAACTTTGCTGGGACAGATACAGTAATCTTTATACCTTGTCATCCTGTAAAACCAGTGTGGAACCAATGTCATTCATCACTGTGCCAACAAAAACCGTCATCAGTAGATTGAAAGATATCATAGTTATTTGAGTGCAAGCTGCTTATGGTAGTTTTAATCTGAAAAATATTTCAACTTTTACGAAGAGTCACAGAAAATCCGGAAATGAATAGGAATATTGCTAACATTGTACAGAATTGTGAATGATGCATACATCGAATTACTTTTGTTTCCAAGACATGCAAAAGATCTAATAGGGGGACAAAGTTTAAATGAGAGGAAAACCCTTTAAAATGCGTGTGCATCTGCAAAGGTGTTATAGCAATATTGACCAGCCTTAGGAACTAATGACTGTTTGAAGGCGTTTTTGTCTGTGTGACTCGATTTAAGGGAGTGCTAGCTCCGCAAGTGATGTTTTCATTATTGCCTCGTTATCTAATCCAGTTGGCAAAGCACATAAGTAAGACACTCATGCAAAATTTATAAGCTAGAAAGCTAGGCAAACGTTTTTTTCTTTTATCCTGCGCTTTCTAAAGCTCCTCAGTAATTCCCCGACGTCGTTGCAACACATGTATAGACGAAATGTTATTTGTGATGTTACCTTCGCCTAAGGGTTATTAGCATAATATAGACGGCTGTTGAAATTATCCTACTGGTTTTGAGTGTGATTGGAACATGTCTGTTTTCACTGTCGAAAAGGCATAACATGTCTGTATATGAAATTTTAGAGTCATATGTCAATAAGAATAAAATAAAAACTTCATTGTCAAATTTCTAGGGTCTCACAAACCAAAATATCTTCACAAAATAAATGAGTTTTTAAGTTCTGTATGGATGCGTGTATGGAAATGGGATTAAAATTATGATTAAATAATTTAGTGGGATGCGTCTGTCTGTCTGTCTGTCTGTCTGTCTGTGTGTCTGCCTGTCTGTCTGTCTGTCAGCATTCACATATATTATACACGTGTAGCTAATAAATAACAAAACAATAAATATTTCTTCATGTATTTGAGTTTAGACGATTTTATGTATTTGAGTTGAGACGAATTACGAGATAAGAAAACCTTCAGCTCTGCATGATTTAATCAGAAGTAGCTTTATAACTGAACGTCTACCCTCATTGCAAGGTAGGATAAAAGAAATGTCTTGAACAGAAATGTTTTTAACCCGCAGTGCTATGTAAACAACCGAATGATTATGCTCATCCTACGGTAAAAAATTAAACAGGGGTTGTGAATAATTATACCTCGATAACTAGCATGCTGCCTTTACATAAATTATGAAGGCGGTAGACTGGGTTGTGCCTTTAAATCGAGTCCATTACGGTATGAAGACAAGCGGCCTTGCATAAAGTCTGACTTGCCATGGATGCCAAGAATTATTACTGCTAATAGTGATTGATTCAAAACATGTCTAATTACGCAAATGTGCAGAGATATTCATTGGTTTGATCAAATAATGATAAAGTCACTGAACACAAGCCATATTTCATATTGCCGTTAGACTTCTTGGGTAACCACAATTTTCATCATGAAAACGCACGTGCTCACAATTTTCCTATTTTGTTGCAGAAACACAATGTTCTGAGGTCGTAAAAATCGTACGGTCCACATGCGTACAGAGGAGAATACATATCCTGATAATATGGACCAACTCCGTCAAACTCTTCCAAATTGCAAACCGTGTTGAGTGCATGCCACGCCACCCACGGGAGATTATTGTAATACGCGGTAGACACAGACGCTGTTAGACATGTGACGTTTAATCAACATATTTTGATAGTAGACTTAACTGTGTATTAATTTAGTGATATTTGACAGAATCCTCAGAATTTAAGCGCATTTGCTGTAGGATTTCTATTAATGTCTATATATTGCTGGTCGATCCTCTATCAATGAAGCATCTTAAAATGTGTGTTTAGCTCTTTAAATGGCAACTGTGATTCTAATTACCTTCGGTGAATAGACAGCTTATTCCACTCCATCGGTGCTATGCATAATGCTACATGGGCATGATATATTTGTTGTTATATTTCAGACTCGGTGCTCGCTATATTTATAGGTAGACGGTTTAGTGTTTGAGTGAAAATGGGTTAGCTTTGTGACTTTCCTTGTGAGTAATTGTGGATAATATTGCGTTTTTGACATAAATAACCTCGTTTAAATAATGAAAGAGATTAAATAAAGACTACTTCAAATGTAATTTTGTGGAAGTGTGTAATAATTCAACGAATTATTGAAATAGCATGCCCATCCTTAACGTACAGAAACTGGAAAACGTACACAATATTAGAATTATTAAAGTTTTGGTTTACCTTGAGGTTTTAAGCACTCCTGTGTATTCGTTCGGAGCAGTTGAAAAGCGAATGAAATGTTACATTATTTGCGATGTCGGGTAAGCGTTACTACGGCATGAGGGTGATTAGCATGACAAATACACCAAGTGTGAATCTTCACCTGTGGTTATTCAAAATATTGTTTTTTCAACGATATCATAAAAATATACTGTCAAAATTGAGCACTGTCAGATACAAATATATTTATACTAAAAACACTGCACTTTTGAAAATTTAAAAATAAATAATAAAAAAAAATAAATAAAATTATACTTATTGTGCAATCCAGCATTTCAGGTGTAAATTGACTTTATTATGAAATATATGGAATATTTAACCTCGTGCGATTGAGTTTTTTTTTATTACTTCAAACTATCACACCACAGTGAACTAAGCGAGCATAAACTTCCCACTGGAAAGCTGTTCACCATTTTATTAGGGTAAACGTAAACAATCATTTTTAAAGAAGTTATTAAGCAATTCAATATAGTCAGTTGTGTATGCATGTCACCAAACTAAATCTTTCATTTACACGCCTTAGAAGCTGACTGAACGATATGCACCGCGTGTGTGTGTTTGTGTGTGTGTGTGTGCGAGAGAGAGAGAGAGAGAGAGAGAGAGAGAGATAGCGCGGCATGTGTATGTATTGCACTACTATTGAACATTCTTCTTTTTAAGTGTTTGTAGTTATCAATCAACACACACACACACACACACACACACACACATATAACACCTAACGGGTTGGTATCATACTTCCGTAGAAACGTTTGAACAAGGGTGAACGGGACATGTTTAGTGTTCCCAAAGTTTTGGAATAAATACGGATCAGTTAGAAAGCAAAAAACAAAATGTAAAAGAAAAATGCGAAAATAGCAAATATTAATTAATGATTTGATTCAAAGATGAGCGGTATTACATAACATATTTCTCATATACTTTCTCTGCATATTTTATTATTTGACCATTATTTGTAATGGTATTGCAATTGAAAAGGGATGTCTATTCCAGTTCTGTAAAGCTCAAACTTTCAGACTTATGCAAACATAATTAGGGAGAGGAATCCGTTATTTTCCCGTAAAGGTGCCCACCTTTTAAACTGTTGCTCACAACCCATAACAAACCGTTAATGAGCATTTCACCTTTGCTTATGGCGCCATTGTTGTTGGTATCTATTTCATAGAAAATCTCCGGGAAAGATTGAGCGCGGAATATCTTCAGAAAATTGTCAAACTCATCTTTGTCCAGAGAGTTATCTTCATTCGCATCCACAACTTCGAAGAACGTTAGGTGCCATCCGTTCTCTATTTCCAGGTGAAACTTGTCGAGTACTTTTGTTTTGGTTTCGGCTTTTTTTGAAAGAAAGTCGTCTACTGAAACGCTTTCCAAGTTATTCTCATTCATGATGGTTTGCCACCACGTGTCCCAGATTTGGAGCAAATAAAGATTTAACTTGTCCTTTTTCTCGTCGGAATTTGTTACCATCCCTATTCTCTCTGCCGTCTTATTCACATATTCGGCTTTTTCCATCTTTCCATCCCCGTTGACGTCCATGTGTCCAATAAATGTTCTCCATTTCGCTTCCCAAAAATCATATAAAGGCTTATTATCTTCAGGCATCTGGAAAGAAACTTGGATACTTGTATCTTAAACTTGATGATCTACTCTATTTTGACTCCTTTCTTATTTTCTGTTTGTATTTTTTCATTTGATGATTACTGCACTAATACAATTTCTGCTATACGCTGTAAACCTCAGAAAAGTCATGTCGATCTAGTTTCAGCCGAAGAAGATATCACAATTTGCTAAAGTCGTAGAGAGCGAAAGTCAAGTTTGTTTTATTATATAAATTAAACCCCGGATGTTTTATCGCACCTCGGATAACAATTACCACCTGTTATATCGCTGTAACGGTAACATATCTTTGATAGGTGATCATGAACGTCCCCTTTATTCTGATCGGTAGAAACATGAATTACGTCATCAGTCAATATTATGTTTGGTGATGACATCAGCGGTAAATATTGAATGCTTTCCCGGACAGCAACTAGTGCAATATACATATTGTGTTATGATATCAATCTCTTTATTAACGCTGTTGTTGTTTTACCCCTACTACGGCCTAGATTAAAATACCAACCAGTTCTGTAGCAGTTTAATTGACATAAGTGTTTTAATGTTAAAACATTTACCGTGTCAATTGTGCCACAAAATACGCAAGGTTTCAATTACGAAACATTTCATGTGCCTGTACATGCATAAAATGAACCTCACTGTATAAGTGATTGCTTTACCTTTTTACCCCGTGTCACCAGTGTGGAACCACTGTCACTCATCAACATGACAGCAAAACCTATTGTCAATAGACAGAAGAACAACATAATTCAGTGCGTACAGCTGTTATGCTCCCGGAACTGAAAAAAAAAAAATATTGAAGGGGTGGTAATACAATATCAGTGAAGATATGGAAAATAAACAGAGAGTTTATTAATTTAGTTTACATATCTTGTAAAGAATGGTGAATAATAGATGCACTTGAACCACGTTTCACAACGTTTCATAACTATTATTATTATTATTATAATTGATTATAAGTCTAAAATCCATAAATTTCTTTGAAATAGTTTACAGGTAAGAATGTTTCATAGATGTTTTTAAATATATATGGTCACGAATAAAACATCTTATAAAGTGTGATTTTAGCTCTTTAAATGATGTCTTTGATTGTAATTCCCTTTTGTCAATAAACAGCTTTTCCATCCCACCTACCATGCAGCTACATGTATGGTAGGGTTGTTAAGA